ACCTTTTGGGCCAAACTTTCGACCATGACATTGCTTGCAGTATAATTCAGCTTCATGTGGTGCTACATTTGTTGAATCCAACAATTTGTTACACAATTCTGTAAATCGATGAAAAAGGTGGAAAAGATAGTAAGGTAAAAGATAACATGCAATTGATACCGATCTAACAAACAATAACTTAAATCGGTATGAATTTTATGGTGTCCTGAACTAACCTATTTGATTGTTTTTTTTTTTTTTTGGTTATCAATTTGTTACTATATTCTTGTTTTAAATATAGACAACATTTGCGCCAAAAAAAAGCAGTTCTAGGATCTATTTTGCAACAATCATATCGGTCTAATAGGCTTTTTAATTCATAAATGCTATTATCATTATTATTATTATTATTATTACTATTAATTTGTTAGATATACAACATGCATTTAGCTAGGAGAGAGAATTTTAGTATCATTAAAAGGTATGAAAAATTATGGAAATGTTGTTAATTTCCGAGTTCCAATCAAACCGGCTCATTTGACATGCTGATTACATTCAACGATAAACTTCATCTTCATCCAGTGATTGTATCTTCAGTTCGGTTAGTAATAAAATAAAGTTATCAGATCTATGCAAAAAGTTAAAAAAAATTAAATTTCAAAAATTCAAACACAGATAATTATCACCAATTTATCGTAAAATGGACCAACGAATGACTAACGTCATTTCCACTTCGGTATTTCCGAAATGCTCTCCGGTATCCATAGTTAATGCACCGGCACCTATTCCAAAACCGATCCCTTTAGGACCATATTTTCGACCATGACACTGTTTACAGTATAATTCAGCTTGATGTTCACAGCAATTGGTTGAGTCAAGTAATTTGTTACACATAGCTGCAAACAATGGGTATCGTATCGTGATAACGATCAATCGAACAACTGAGACTATATCAAAAAAAAAAAAAAAAAGGTTAGCTTAGATTAGTTTCAACAGTTAAAAAAATGAATCATTGCCAAGATAGCCATAATTTAGTTCCAGGTTCATTTCACATTTCGATACTTTACAATTTCCACCAACATTAGCATCCTTCGAATTCTGATAGATCTGATCAGTTGTTTGATCGATATGCGCCTTTATCATTAGTTAAAAATCCATTTAAGATAATGTAGTAAATGTTTAAGAGGATATCATTTATCCATAAATCTATGAATAAGCAAAGACAAACTTTTCTAAAATAACATTTAAACCAAATAAGCAAGCAAATTATTTGTTCATTTCAAAATTCCTAAGCTGAAATATAAAAAAGTGAATTGTTAACTTAAGGGTTACTAAAATTGCGAGATTATTCTAGAATTAAGAAAAAAGAATAGATAGGAAGGGACCATATCAAGAACACAAAATAAAATTGCTTTTTTTTTTCTATCGGATTTCTCTTTAATAAAATTAAGCCAAAATATAGGACCATTCAACATGGCTTACAATTTCCAATGTCCACCGTAATAAAATGCTAATGCGTTTAGTAGCCATTTAATTGTAAAATTTAACACAAATAATTTGTTAATTTCAACTATCATGCGATATCATCTAATTAATATCATAAAATTACAATTACTCCATATGCTATTGATAAATTTTGTTCTGGCAAAAAAAAGGACAAAAAAGGCCAAAAATCAATTAGTGGAAATTAATTAGAAGAGAAACTAACCACATTTGAAGCAAAATTTATGCCATTTGTAACCACCAGCATTCATTTCCTCTGCAGCATATACTGATTTACCGCATTTCGGACATTTTGGATGCTCCACCGGTTTAAATGGCATTTTTTTTTTTCAAAATGTATTCTTCAATTGATGCTAAAGAAAAAAAAAAGTTTCTTGATAAATTATGCAAATGTTATGAGTAATCAGTACAAAACGTTCGCATATCTTTCTATCACTAATTTTATCATACAAATAGTAAAGATCAAAAGAAACGATATTTTGTAAAAAAAAGTTTAAAAAAATTAAATTTAATGATTAATCTTTTAACATTTCATGCCTTCCTGCTTCAGCTTTACAAGATTAAAATTTCTCAAACTTTTTTTTTCCACAAATTTAAAAATTTTTAACACAAAATGATAAGAACTAAAAGCTAAAAGTTAGAAGCTAAAAGAAATGAAATGGAACGGATAGAACTTATCTTGTTAAAGTCTTATTGATTGTAATATTTGACATAGTGCTATTGCTATTCAATGTACTTTTTTTTCCCCTCAACACATTTATCCTCTTATCACAAGCAACAACATATTGATAACAAAATTTATCCATCCATTCATTCATTCATTCATCATTTTCAACACTTTTCATTTTCTGCTTTTTCTTTTTTCTCTCGACAAAAAGATCATTTTAAAAAAGCTTCATAACTGTTCTTATCAGTTAATCAGTAATTGGAAAAATAATAACTGAAGTAATCATTGATAAAATTTTTACAATAACATTATTAATCACATTAAGCAACTATTATCAGCCAAATATAAATAACCCAAATTTATCTGGAATTTTTATTTCCTGAATTAATCAATTAGTAAATTAATGAATAAAATGAAAGTAGCATCACTAGCAATGCTATGTTGAATGCTAAATTATTTGTGAATACAATCTTAAATGATGCTATGAGATAATTTTTAAAGTACTTCAAGATTAATTACATTTTTGAAAGTTTCTGAAAAAAGAAAAATGTGATGATTCATGAACGAATATATTACGAAAAGAATTGGAAGAGATTTCGGAAGAGAAATATATAAGTTTTAATTTTTCTACAGTATAGAACCATTATAGCAACACGATTACATCACATCATTATCCAACCTCTTTCCTTTTTGTTTACCTATTACTATTGTATTTTTAGCAATATTTTCCGAGATTTCTTATTTTTTGGGATATTTTCCGAGATTTTTTTCTTTCTATAATCTCTTAGAAGACTGAAACTATTGGATTATCTCGATTCTATTCAATCAATTAATTGTAAAATTGAAAAGAAAAAAAATTAACACAGTAAAATTTGTTGAAAAACTTCTGAAAAAAAAAAAATGACTAAGAGATGAGATAGTGTTCCTTCATATTTATCTATCTGTCTATCTGTTAATACTAAATATCTGTATCTTTGATTTAAACTTGTTCCAGCATAATACAATATTACAACTTTTATCTTTACAACAAGTTGTTATAAAGAATGGGAGAGTTAGCTGTTTAGTTGACAAAAATTGATAGCTATGAGACAGTTAGCAGTAGTTGAAGAATTGTGATTGATTGTTGAAAGTAAACAATTACACAATGTTATGAGAGCAAAAAGAAAAAAAAAGTATAATCTATCTACTCTTTAACTCATTTTTTCGACATTCTTGTTGAATTAACTTCTCTAGAACTTCGGATAGTGTAATATTTTAGAAGTGCGCAATTAGTTAGAGTGGAAATGGTAATGAGAGTATGTAAAGGTATCACTGAGATGTGATAGCTTATGTAATGATCAAATCACAATAATGATGAATAAAGAGAATAAAAGAGGATAAGGTTAGGAGAAAAAAAAAAAATGATGAGTGAAAATAATAAAATACTTACGTTAAGCAATTTAAAATAAAAAGCTTAATGATAGATGAAATAATGAGCCTAATGAGTATAGTGTAAGATGATTATAAAGATAACCATTGGTTGGATAAATTAGAGGAGATTAATTTGAGGATTAAATTGAAATAGATTGAGATTATTTTCCTTAGGAAATTAATATCAAACTATATCCGATTATTAGCAAAAGGTTATTTGATGATTATTCGATTGTTCGAACATTCCTAGTGAAGAATATGACGGTTAATAATGAAACATTTAAATCTAAACAAAATTTAAATTAATCGACAATTGCGCAAGTTGTTGATGTGAAAAAAAAAAAATTAGGAAAAGTGGTAGAATGAAGTACAGTCTCATCAATTCAGTTAACTTGCTCTAACATAAAGGATAAATCTCTTAGAATATTTGACAAGTCAAAGGTTACACCATTTACTTTCATCTTTTTAAATCTTAACCTTCTAAATGTATTTGTGCCATAATCAGGTTTGTCAAAATAAAAATCTTATGAATCAATGATGAGCTTTAACTTTGATAGAAATAGAAATACATTTTTCAGCTATAAAGTTTGGCAATAAATAATTCTTAATTTTCAATAATTTCAATCATTTTTGATTGGCATTGATTGTCACCAATACAAATTGTAAATTTCACAAAAGATATTTTCAATTTTGGGAATTTTAATTTGATTACTAAAATCAAATGAGAAGGATGTAAAGCTATCATAAAAAGAAGGGATTAGATCGACCAACTAACCATCCAATTTCCAATTCATTGCTATAGCTTAAGAAGCAAATTACGCTATTTGCAGTAAAGCTAGCTGTAAAGCATTGACTTTCCTTTTGCTCATCTTTCATCATTCTTAAAATGCTTAATCACATCTATAGGGTGCAATGCTATCTACTACCACATTAATGTGCAAACTATTGCCATCTTTTCGTCATTCAATCAAATGCACGTCACCACTTTCATCCATTACAATTGATGCCACCCAAAGTGATGGTACTACTACTACTACCACTACTACTACTACTACTACTACTACTACTACTACTACTACTACTACTACTACTACTACTACTACTACTACTACTACTACTACTACTACTACTACTACTACTACTA